TCTCTCTCACATACACACACACACACTCTTTTGCACACACACACACATTCTCTCTCTCTCATACAAACACTCTCTCATACATTCTCATAAACACACTCTCTCACACACACACACGCACTCTCTCTCGCATACACACACACACTCTCTCTCGCATACACACACACATGCACACACACTCTCTCTCACACCCACTGTCTCTCTCACAAACACTGTCTATCTGCCTCTCACACATTGTCTCTCTCTCACACACACTGTCTATCCCACACACACTCTCTCACACACACACTCTCACTCACACTCTCTCTCACACACACTGTCTCTCTCTCACACACACTGTCTCTCTCACACACACACTGTCTCTCTCTCTCATGCAATCTCTCTCTCACACACACACACTCTCTCTCTCTCACACACTGTCTCTCTCACACACACACACTCTCTCTCACGCACTGTCTCTCTCACACACACACACTCTCTCTCTCTCACACACTGTCTCTCTCACACACACACACTCTCTCTCACACACTGTCTCTCTCACACACACACACTCTCTCTCACACACTGTCTCTCTCACACACACACACTCTCTCACACACACTGTCTCTCTCACACACACACACTCTCTCTCTCTCACACACTGTCTCTGTCACACACACACTCTCTCTCTCGCGCACACACACGCTCTCTCTCACACACACTCTCTCACAAATGTAGTTCTGACACACTCGCTCGCACTCACAAATGCCCACTCAGTAACACACAGACCCCGCCCCCCCACATTGAGACTGAAGTTTCTCTATTCCTGTGCAGGGGAATGTTTTGGGAGCACGCTCCAGTCTCACAGGCACTAATGCCCCCTTACCCATGGCCTGTCAGCTCGGCCTGAGGGGGGATTTTATCGATGTCACACGCCATCTTCCGATCCACGCAGTTCATCTCGTCAGCTCCATCTCCCTCACAATCGTCATCACCATTACATCGCAGGCTGGGGCTCACACACTGACCTGCAACACAACCAGAGGTACAGCTTACACAAACCAGGCTCACAGTCACACAGCACAGCTCCCTCTACACCATCCCCCATCAAACAATCTCAGGGCAGGGACAGCACAGGTTTAGATACAGAGTAAAGCTCCCTCTACACTGTCCCCCATCAAACACTCCCAGGGCAGGGACAGAACGGGGTTAGATACAGAGTAAAGCTCCCTCTACACTGTCCCCATCAAACACTCCCAGGGCAGGGACAGCACGGGGTTAGATACAGAGTAAAGCTCCCTCTACACTGTCCCCATCAAATACTCCCAGGACAGGGACAGCACGGGGTTAGATACAGAGTAAAGTTGGTTTATTAGCGTTTGTGTCCCTCACCCTGACCCCAGAAGGCCCCAGGGTGATAGTAGCCCTTGCAGTTTGCCTGCTGAAGGTTTCTGAATGAGCAGCTGTGGAGAGTTGGTCTCACTGTCTCGGGACAGGGGATTGGTTGGTGGGATTCTCTCTAAGTGTACACCATCGCACTGAGAAGCTGAGAGCAGGTGAATTCCCAACCTGAAGCACATCGGAAGCGATCCCCACATCCCTCATCCACCGGACAACCTCTGGTCGCCGAACATGATTGAAATTCAAATTTGGAGCCAATGCACTGGTGCCCTCCAAACTGAGCATAGTCGCGCACTGATCGCCAGCGAGTCTGTAACAGTGCACAGGGTTAATCCAACACCACAGCACAGAGTCCCACCACCAACCCACAAACACATAGTCCCACATCTGCTTGTGTTGGGCACCCTGTATCTCAGAAAGCCCCATCTCATTCCACCTTCCAGAACCCTCCACCATCTCTTTACTCTCCTTTGAGTCCTGGCCCAGGCCAAACTAACCAATCATGGCCTTGGGGACAGTAAGGACTGTAGATGCTGGAAGTCAGAGGCAATAGATATGGAGCTGGAAAACCACAGTAGGCCAGAGAGCAGCTGAGCAGCAAGAAAGTCAACACTTTAACCCGAAACATTGACCTTTCTGCTCCTTGGATGTTGTCTGACCTGCTGTGCTTTTCCAGCTCCACATTTATTCAATCAATCATGGCCAATGTTGGTTTAAAACAGAGTTGAGAAGGGCTGGGTGATAAAGACCTATCCCAGTGAGCAGTCACCACATTCCGAATTAAACACTGACAGTTCAAACATTGCTGACCATCCAAAACCGCTTCTGTCCTGTTGTCAGCTCTATCCCTCCTCCCAGGGCTGTCAGCACTGTCCCCAAACCAGCCTGAATCCTGACTGTATCTCACCTCCTCATACCTTCCACCAAATATAACCAGGCCTCCTTACTCCCCTTCACCCTGCCCCCTTTGTATACAACAGTGACTCCTCAAAGTCTGTCCCACCATCTACAAGGCACAAGTCAGGAGAGTGATGGAATACTCCCCACTTGCCTGGATGGGTGCAGCCCCAACAACACTCAAGAAGCTCGACACCATCCAGGACAAAGCAGCCGCTTGATTGGCCAATCCTGGATATAATCCCCAATAAGATCCCAATCGATCTGCACCCCCAGGACCCTGTGAAGCTCCCTTCCCAGTGTTCCAATATTCATCATGTGTTCTCTTGCTTTGTTAGTCTTCACACTCACTCAATGTGGCAATAACCTGTTATAACTCACCTGGGTGTTATTACAGCCCTCACACTCACTCCAGGGCCTGAAGGGACCCCACTGGCAGTGGATGGCTCTGTGGGCACAGGAGGCAGCAATTAGACAGGCAGCTAAATGAAGGCAGAGCCCTCTATTCCTCTCTAACCACGGTCATTGCTCAGTGAGGGCAAATCAAACAGAATACAGTTAGGGTCAGGGTCAGGGTTAGGGTTAGGGTCAGAGTTGGGGTTCAGATCAGGGTCAAGGTCAGGGTCAGGGTTCAGGTTTGAGTCAAAGTTAGGGTAAGGGTTAGGGTCAGGGTAGGTGTTAGGGTTAGGGTCAGGGTTAGGGTTAGTGTTAGGGTTAGGGTCAGGGTGTGGGTTAGGTTAGGGTTAGGGTTAGGGTTAGGGTCAGGGTTAGGGTCAGAGTTAGGGTTAGGGTCAGGGTGCAGGTTAAGATTAGGGCCAGGGTGTGGGTTAGGGACAGGGTCAGGGTCAGGGTTAGGGTTAGGGTCAGGGTGTGGGTTAGGGTTAGGCTCAGGGTGTGGGTTAGGTTTAGGGTCAGGGTTAGGGTTAGGGTTAGGGTCAGTGTGGGTTAGGGTTAGGTTTAGGGTCAGAGTGTGGGTTAGGGACAGGGTCAGGGTGTGGGTTAGGGTTAGGGTCAGGGTCAGGGTGTGGGTTAGGGTTAG